GGAGAAAAATAGAAACTGTTAACATAGGTTGATTCTTAATTCACCCTGGGGAAATTTGCAGAGCATGTGTTCTCTTTCTTAGTAACACTATGCTTCACACACACTCAATTACACCTTTATATGTATATATACAGCAAGTAGGGTTGTCAATACTCGAATTAACACCTCTTGGTGTAATTTGATGTGATGCACCTTGCACAAGGGCACCTTGACAGTATGTTTACGAGGCTGGAAAGCAACTTTGGTTTCTCAGTCGAGGGAGCCTAAAGTAAATGGATGATTGACTTGCACTGCGCCTTTCTAGTCATCCGACCACTCAACACGCTTTACACTACTTGTCACATTCGCCCATTCACATGCCGGTGGCCGAGACTACTGTACAAGGTGCCACCTGCTACTCAGTTAACCATTCATCTGCACTCAATTTAGGGCTCAGTGTCTTGCCCAAGCATACTCTGACATGTGGTCTGGGGGAGCCGGGGATCGAATCGCTGATCTTCAAATTAGTAGACCACAGGCTCTGCCTCCAAAAGTTGCGGGTATACTTAAGAAGAACTGGCTTGTGTTGTCTGAAGGCGAAAGTGCTCATAGCTGTTCCGAATGACGTGGTGAAAGGCACATCATAGAGAGGAACGGGACATAATAATCATTTAAATATAGCGCAGATGACGCCGTACACTTTTGGAAAGACCTTCTGAAAAGGCATTTGTGATCTTGCACTTGTGAAAAGTGCCAAAATAAGTTGCCTTATGCTCTCAATTCCTCAAACCTGACCAAGGCTGCATGTCGTGAGTGTTCTCAAGGGCATGGGTTTTGTTTCAAAATTTGGTGGTACACATATGAAACGGAAGGTGTGCAGTGGTGTAGTGGAGGGTATACTCAGGTATACGGGGTATACCCACCTCTTTTACCCACACCCATCAGCCAAAAAGCCGACCAAGTAGTGTATCCACCTCATCAACTACCACTACACCACTAAGGGTTTAGGGATCTTCCACCAGAAAATTTTAACCCCGAAATTAAAGAATCAGAGTCTTTTATTTTGTCCTCTGCAATTTTAATGTTTTTATGTTTTTATCAAAGGGAACAAATGCACTTGTTCTAAATATTGAGGGGGATGTGTCCCCTGTGTCTCCCTCGAAATCTACACCGCTGTGCGTGCTTGTCTATTTTGGAAAGACATTGAATTTGCATAGGAACCCAGCTGGCCACCAACGTCGCCAGACATTAATATTTGATTGAATTTGGGTGACCGAAATTCAAGGTCAGGATGTGTGACGTAGGATACTGACGACAGACGATGCCGATATTTTGCTGGTTTTAAGTTGTGTTGTTGAACTCTAAACTCATACCTCCAAACTGTCCTAATTCTCATTTCCAGTCTCGGTGACATTACGTACAATAAGTGCAATAACAACATCGGCCTCTTGTTGTTGATTATTATTTATGTTATTCTTATTTATCAGTGATGTGATGAAGGTACTTTTCTGGGTTGTCACTTGTTCCGTTTAACCTGCACTGCCAAAATCAAACGTCTCACGCCAACGTCATCTTGAAGTAGAATAACATCTAGTCAAAAGGTGCAAGGAACACAACCCAACGTCTGCAAAGCGCTACAGTGTTAACATCTATGCAACATTAAATTCTTTTTTAAAGAAAATGTTTATGTCTTTATTAGATAGGACAGAACAAATGTGAAAGGGAGACAGAGAGGTGGTCGACACGTAGCCAACGGACGCAGGCTGCTGTGGCGAGGATGGTGCCTGCTCTACCTACTGAGCCACTGAGCACCCAACAACAATTCTAACGTCATTAGACATGTAAAATATCGTCAACCTGATTTTCATTCTGACTTAAATTCAATGTTTTCTGACATCATATTGACGTCCGGTGCCAGCTGGGAAAGGTGTGTGTGGAGGAGTAACTGCTGGACCACCCCAACAAGCGCTCCCGACGCTTTAATACCTCTCTACTAACCTTAAGGCTCCCTCTGCTCACCATCTCCTGACACCCACAGCGCTGCCGCTCTATCTTTTGCCTGACCCGCTGTTTGAAACCACAGCGGACCCCTTCTTCTGCTGCTGTGACCCGCTTCGCTTGCTTTGCTATCAAACTTCTGATTCCTAGTCAAACGCACGCCGCGGTCGATCAGAAAACCGAGCCATCTACCTGTCCGTCTCTACTGTAAAAACAGGAGTTTGAAACTGGTCTGTAAACTCAATACAAGTGGCACAAGTGGCGTACTATTTAAGTAAGACCCTAATGCTCTAAATACACACTAATCCCGAGCAGGCGGCAGAACTCTCAGCAGTCTCAAAATGTCACAATGCAGTAGCTTCTCCCTAACTGAGGGCAAGCAGGTGCCTCTCCCGCAGCGCACTAATGACCCAATTATATCAATCAGAAGCCTTGATTGGTGCTACACTCCTCTCCCTTTTACTCTGTCTCTTTCTCCCTCACATACAATCTCTTCCCCCAAGAGCCACCTGGATTGGGGTGTATGTGCCCCCTTCAAGTACAGTACAGTATGTACAAAGATGGGGAGGAGGGCGGCGTTGATGGTGGCAGAGGAGGAGGAGGAGGAGGTGGAGGAGGAGGAGGAGGATACTACTTGAGTACAACAAGCAGAGAGAGGTCTTAATGAGGCAAAACCATTAGACTCTTTTTAGCATGGGGCCAGTGTTTCATATTGGTTAGGACAGTGAGTTCCTGATGAGGATTTGGAACATGAAAGCATCATCTCAGCACAAAAAAAGTGCATGTACCTGTGGAGGGATACTTCAGGTTACACTTGTGCTTTTATACTTTTTTTTTTTTTGTTAGTTTTCTGCAAACACTTATATAAGATTCAAGCGACGAGAGGACGTCACTATAGTGAGCAAAAATCTTTACTTTATTTCATAGATTAAATCAGTTTTCAAGTCACAGATGTGTTGAGATAATTTAGGTTTATTGGGTTTAAAGGATAAAAAAATATCCAAACATAAAAAGAGTTCAAGGATCCTGCACAACATGCCTGTTTATAGGACAAGCCAGCAATGTCAACCTACTTCCACTACGCACACGCTCTCAAAAGTGTGACATTTTGGGTGGATTTTCAAAAATAGGGCATTTCAGGATCCCTAAACATATTCCATTGGATATAGAAAAGGCGACAGGAGTGTCTTTGGTCAACCCAGATGACACGTCTGCGCCTTATCTCATGAGGAATTTCCTCCTCGCCCCTATGATGTGCGTCAATAACGTGCAACCATTTTCAGTCGCTCTTTCCCCTCTTCTCTCTCGCGGCCATCTCAATTAGAGGCACATTAATGAAATAAATAACCATCAACAAACAATGCACTAATAAACACCCCCCTCCTCTAAAACGAGATTAACCCTGCCCGCAGATGGTGTCCGCGCACGATCCCGTTCCCAAAAAAAAAAATTTAAAAATCATAAACAGTGTGGGATGTAGTTTGGGGGAGAAGTCGGGGAGGTTGGCGTGTGTGTGTCATGTCAGCCCTATCTATCGCTCTCTCCCCTGCTCCATTTTGTTCTTAAATTTTCTATACAAAAGATTAAGGGAGGGGAAAAAGACGAGTGAGCGAGCGAGGGAGAGGACGGGGAGGAAGAAAGTGCCATCATGGATTTCATCTCGAGTCCCTCTGCCAATCTCTCAGTCCCAAAAAAGCGACATCGTGTCCAAAAAAAAAAACGCACATTATTCCCCCTTAAAAAACCGGTAACTTCTCTTTGCAGAATACAATCTGGCAACACGCGTTTTGCACACACACACACACACACGGCCACAGCGTTGCATGCCACACTTGCTATGCTACTTTCTGAGCTTGTAGACACTGGAGGTGATGTTAGGACAAGTAAACGGGTTGTAGTAAACATCGTAGTAAAGGAAAAAAGCAAGGTGGGGGAAAGTGGACGGTTTATAAAACACTGTGGAAGCCCGTGGATGCGTTTTTGCGCACATCCCAGATGAAAGTGGCGGTGCTTATCTCGAAAACAATGCACTACACAATGCCCAACAAAAGAATTAGTCAAGCTAATCGCATCTGGCCCGCAAATTACGCTTTTGTAAATCAACTTGCTAACATGCAAAAATCCACTTTTACGCCTGGACAATATGTCTGCGGCTTATCGAAAATCCTCCGTTACGCACCGAGAACTTGTGCCTCTTTTAGTAAAAGCTACTTTTTGGGGTTGGTGTGTGAGTGTGTGTTTGTGTGTGTGTGTGTGTGTGTGTGTGCGGGGGGGAAGCAAACGTCGTTTCTTTTTTCCAGAGAGGTTAAAACGGGATAAAGAAGAAGAAGAGGTCAAAAACTGCTTTCCTTTCCTTTCCCTCGCGCGGATACGAAGTGCTCGCGAGGAGAACTTGGTTTAAAGTTAACGCGGATTTATAAAATACATCTTTGGGCACTCCGAGTGACTTTCCGTGATCTTGCAACCATTTTAAAGTCGCGTTTAAAATCGAGTTGACCTACCGAGTCGACTTGTTCTACATGTTACACCGAGTGTTCGCTGAATTAGAGTGCATTTCTCCGTCTTTCTTTTTTTTTTTTTTTTTTGTCATGTCACGGGCTATAGGACGGCTCCGAGGCTTACATGCATGTCGGCCACGCGCGCACATACGCCGGCTTACATACATGACACACACGTAAAGTGCTCCGGAGCGCGCGGATAGATACATACATACATACTACATGCCAATCACTCACATGCAGGCACACGCGCGCACACATTCCCCCCGAAAAAAACTGCACAAAAATAAAACACAACTATATTGGCCATTATCCCGTGTGTTGCTCGTGAGAAGAAGAAGAAGAAGAAAAAAAAAACAGGCAACAACAGTCGCAATAAATTCAACAATTTTGGAAATGTTTCATCACCGGTGTTTCACGCCACCATGCATAAAAGTGTATATGTAAACAGAGTGGTGGATAAAATTAAACTAGATAAATGGAGATATAGGATATATGTTGAAAGTAAAGACTCAGTGTACTTACGGGAGAGGCGGCGAGGAGATTAATGACACGACACGTCATGATTACGTTTCACTTGAATTAAATACATTACGAGTTGGGAAAAAAATGGAAATCAGGGTTGTATACAAGCATACGCCGTTTCCCCCTCCCTCCTCCCTCCGTTTGGTCACCCTCTCCTCTCTCTCTCTGTCTCCCTCTCTCCTCCTCCTTCTCCTCCTCCATCTCCCTTTCTTTCCCTTCTCCCTTTCTCTCCTTTTCTTCTTGCATTTTTTCCCATTTATTGTACAGGAGTGGGTGAATAGAGAGAAAGCAGAGGAGAAGTGGGAGGGAGAGTGATGTAGGTTGGAAATGTTAATTATAATCTCGGCACGGGCACCATTTTACAACGCTGTCATCTCTTCACATTTGTATCCTAAATATGGCATCTGGGGTGGCGGGTAGCTGACAGTTTAGAGAGACATTTTTTTTTAATCAGGAAGGAGAAGAAGAAGGGGAAAAAAAAGTTTCACACCAATTGAAGTGTGTTTATAGTGATGACAGGGACAAGAGGAGGCTTAAATGTTGTGGTGAGCCACCCCGGAAGCACATAGCCACTTCCAGGATGGGAAGATACAAAGTGCACATATTTGGAGGTAGGATTCCCAACATAAGGTCTGGGGACCACCGGGAGTCCCTGTGGAGGTTTCCAGGGGGGTCCCAGGCAAAAATAGCAGCAGTGGGAACGACACTTAGGGTGCTTTCAGTTCGCTTGCTTTGGTCCGAATCAGGGACTTATTTTGTTACCAAGTTGCATCATTCCCGAGAGTTGGTTCGTGTTCTCACGGCAGCATTTACAAGCGGACCAGATAAAATGCCTTGCGCAAGAAAGCTGCACAAGTTTATCAGTCTAGATTTTTTCGGGGTGAGTGTTGGAGATCTTTGCCTTCTCTTGAATATAAAGGCCAAGACACACTAAACAGATGTCAAAGAGCAAGTGGTGACAAATACTGTTGGGTCGCCTCACGTCATACATGTCTTTGACACACTGCAAAGACGACAGCCAGCTGCCACCTTGCAGGTACTTTCTGTGCCACAATACCAGCAGTTGTGGGCTGTGTTCATCATTCAAAAAAAGGGAAACCAGAAGACGAATCTTAGGTTGCTTTCAGACCTAGAGTTGTCTTGCTTTGGTCTGAATCAGGGACTAATTTTGTTACAAAGCTTCATAATTGCCTAGAGTTGGTTTGAGTTCTCACGGCAGCATTTACAAGGGGACCAGATCAAAGAAAGCTGCTCTTGATTGGTCAGAATTTCCATGCGGGGAAAAATCCAGGAAGTAAACAAAACGTTGAAGAAGAGTACACTTGCAAGATAAATGTGACACTTTCTAATGTCACAATGGAGGGACAACTACAGTTTGAAAACGAGGCGCGTGTGTGACGAGACACCAGTTGGTTCGGATCGAGGTCGGAACACGTTCTCACCACAAATGAACCGGACTGAGACCACCTCTTCAAGAAGGTCTCAGTCCGGTTGTTTTGGTGCACACCCAAGTGCGTTGCTGTGTTCACACCTGCCCAAATGAACCGCACTTAGGGGGCAAATGAACTTGAGTTCGTTGGGGACAAGAGGAGGTTTAAATGTTGTGGTGAGCCACCCCGGAAGCACATGGCACTTCCAGGATGAGAAGATACAAAGTGCACATATTTGGAGGTAGGATTCCCAACATAAGGTCTGGGGACCACCGGGAGTCCCTGTGGAGGTTTAATGGGGGTCCCCTGGCAAAAATAGCAGCAGTGGGAACGACACTAAAAGTACAGTATCACTTTGGAAAAATACTCCTAAAAAATTAGACTTTGTAAAGCAGCAGACGTGTAGGTGTAACCGATCTGGCCTGATGCTTCGGTTTTGCTACAGACTCTGCGTTGTGTTGGAGGACAACTTCTGCCTTGCTGACCAGGGGGTTTTATTCTCTGTGCAGAACACATTGAAATCAGTCCAGCAACTCTGCATAACCAGCTTTCCACAAACACACCTCTCCTCACAAGGTCCAGAAACGAGTGAGGAGGGTAGCGCGAATGTACAGGAAAGTATGTCACCGAAAGTTCGGCGGTCACACAACAAAAATGTATAAAATTAAAGCTCCCCAAAATAAGTACAGACCCAAGCATGAACACATAAAAAACAGCAACAAAATACGAACAAATACGAAAGATGGATTTGGTGAAATATAAACCTATTCTACATAAGTACTTATTGTAAAGAAGGGCTTCTCATACGGTTTGTCCTGATCTGATAATGCACACTTTTTTAGTTGCCAATGATTAAGTTGTAGCAGGTGCACGTCTCTACCAACCAATGTACCCACATGAACAACATTAGCATAAAAGATCCCCTGCGTCATCTTATTTATCCTCTTATTAATGGAGCATGTGTTGATGCGTCTCCCTGTGCTGAAGGTGGGAAATTTCTCAAAAGCTACAAAATGAAATTCAAAGATTTTAGGCCAGTTGAATGCAAAGGAACTTCAAAAAACATTGTTGTGGCTGTTGTGTTAGTTAGTATTTGTCTATTCACAAATCCAGCCAATACGGAGCAGCGGCATCATCCCTTTGTCTCCTTTTAGCTCTTGAGTTTACCACCTTTTAAGAACATTGTCTCAGTCTTTAGCTGTTAGATATTGGACCTTCTTCATCAGCTAGTTGCTCAACTTGCACGCTAACGGTTTGGTGCTGGGCAGGTAGCGTACAGAGAGCTTTTGTTGTTGTTGTTGCTGAAAACAGCTGCTGAAATCCATGAGGATGTTGTGAGAAGGTGTGTGATCACTGGACGTTTCAAGTTTCCACATAATACCAGTGTAAATTGCATGAACTCCGACTGGTTTTCAAACTAGTTGTAATGTCGTAAAATCCTGAAGGTGAGCACAGTTGAATTTCAACCCCTCAACACCTGCTTTAAATGTTATCACTCGATTAAATGGGTGTTATCAGTGGTTATCAGCCTCATAGAAATTGGTTAGAAGGGACCTGCTACACCTACTAGTGGGTTTAGATCATTATCAGTCCATTTAGTAGATGTTATCAGTTCAATCAATCGGGAGCATAGATGGTGACTTCAAGTGGCCTTAGTAATTATGACAGGAGCAAAGGAGGAAGTCAGGTGATGCAGTAAAGGAGTACATTCACACATGCACAAAATTAACCTTGGCGAATATTCACCTCCTGATCACTTATATTCAATGTGAATGATGGGGTAAATAAAACATTTGATTCTGGTGGCAAAGGAAATTTGCATTTTTGCATTTTGTGGTGTTTAACTTTGGTGAACTTTGATTAGTGAAGTCGCAGCATCAACCAATGGCAAAGAAGTATGTAAGGAGGTGACATCGATTGTTGCCATGTCAGTATTGTATGCTAAGTACAACCTACCCTACATGTGATGCTACCCGGCTGGCAGTGAGTCGGGAGGCAGGCATAACTTAAGAGAATGGAAAATGTACAACCATAGTTCGCAGTGTTTATTGGCAAGCTAGCTAACATTAACGAGCAAGCTAGCTTTCTGTGCACATCACATCCTGCATTGCCCACATTCAGCATGAAAATTGCCTCTGCAGGCGATAATCACTCACCTGTATTCACTCATGTGCAACCGTGCCCTAAAGAGCAACAAAGTCCTCATAGGGTGGTGGATGGGTCAAACAAACACAGGACTTTCATTCAGGATACAGCTGTTTGTGTCCTGTGTAAAGTTCTTGTGGCCATGTCGCCTTTTCTTTTGTCCCATTGAAGTTCAGGTTACACAACGAATGCACTTATTTTAACCCAAACCATGATATTTTACTTTACCTCAGCACGTCGTTTGGCCGCCTAAACCTTACGCAACTGAAAGTGATACCTTACAAAACTGCAACTGTTTTAATACACTGATAATGGTCTTCTGAACCTACTAGTAGGTGTAGCAGGTCCCTTCTAGCCCATACCTATGAGGCTGATAACCACTGATAACACCCATTCAATGTAATGATAACATTCGAAAGAGGGTGTCCTTTTTCCAGTGTCAAACTTTGCACATACATCCTTCTGCACAATGAAGCAAACATCCAAGACAAGTATCAATAAGCAAAACTCATTCTTGAATGGAGGGGGCTTCAAACGCTTCATTATAGTAAAGTGATGTAACTCTATCATCTTTCCAGACGTTTTATTTGTTTGAATGCTTGCCTTAACCACTTATCCCGTTGGGGGATGCGGGTGAGCTGGAGCCTATCCCAGCTGACATTGGACAAGAGGCAGGGTACAATTAACCTGCATGTCTTTGGACTGTGGGAGGAAACTGGAGTACCCAAACTCCATATGGAAGGGCCCCCCACCCGGCTATGTGAACCCGTGCCACCCCACGTTGCTATGATTCGTGTATAATGCATGTAATTTGGAGCCGGGAGGCTATGATCAAGTGACCTATGTGCTGCAGGCTGTCCTCCCTCATTTGATGAGAGCAAAGGAGGAAGTCAGGTGATGTCGAACAAAGAGCAACAGCGTCTGCTTTGATAGAAAGGTCATGGTGGTGATTGAGTCAATCAAGCACAGGACTTTGACCCAGGAGACCAGGGTTTGTGTCCCTTGTGAAACCAAAGCCAGCATTGCCATATTAATGTAGACTTTCTTTAACCTTAATAAACTGGTAGGGGCACTAATTCATAAGATATCATATGAACTGTGTGCATAACCTTTCCTAGGATATCATACGAACCGCTGTGTGAGGGTGTGTTGGGTGGCGTGAAAATGCTCAACTGTAAAAAGTTCTTGCTCTGAGAGTGGCTGTTTCAGGATTCACACACTTGTTGCTCACAGACAAGTGCAAATCTTATGTATACGTATATCCTTGATCTTGATATGACTGATCAAGATTTCGGTCACACATAGCCACGATTGTCTGGGGGGAAAAAAAGCTGTCTCAACTCTCATTACTCAAATATTTTCATCAGACCTTCACCATCTGTTTTATCTGCTCCATCTCCATCAGCAGTTTAAAGTCTCAAGCGCTGAGTTTAACACAGACTTTGTTTTCCCTCCGACGTATTCTTGTTTTCCATGTAAGTGGCTTGCGTGAGTGAGCGTGCCGCGGTGCGCTGTGTAAGGCCAAACGACAACAACAAAAAGCAGGG